TGCTTATAATTCATATAACAAGAAAACATATGATAGGTAGGCGTATGAAATTAAAGAAAGAGAAAAGTGATCATCTGTACTTTTTTCTAATCTTAAACTTTTACAGATATCTCTAACATTGTTCAAGAGAGTTTTATGAGCTCTCATAGCATAATTAGTTTTAATTATAAAATGAATTAAAACAACTAGAATATTATAATTAGCGATACAACAGATTATCGCTTATTATCTAGGAAGTCGTCAGCTATAGTTGATCATCATTTTTTATTAAATATAACAACATGTTCTATGATACTAATCATCTTTAGAGAAAGACTATAATAATAAAAAGAAATCAAGGACCAACATTAAATCAGTGATTAATGTACTACCATGAGCGAAAGATCAGTATTATGAGTGTTTATAACACTATTTTCAACCATAGTAGAGGTACCTGTCGAAGCTTTGATTGGATAAACGTACAAATGATTGATTTTTCGTTCTTTCATTCATACACATGTATTTTTGCTTTTCGTCAGTCATATGAATTATAAGCATCTTTATTGATAATAACAGTTAATCTGTGAAAATATTAATAATTTTGGTTAAAATAAAACCTTTGAATATATTAATAAATAATATTAAAATAAAATGAAACTGATTTTTAAACTGTTACACTTATAAGAAAAAACTAAGCAAATGATGAATTGACAGATGTGCAGAGTGTCCAACAGATGTCTTTTCTGCATAACTGTACTATTAATTGAACATTACCAACCGAATATTTTTGTACGATCACTAACGTCATGAAAGTTTCATTTCTATAAACAATATATAAACTTGCTCTTCACTGCGGTTATTTTTAATCGTGATACAAGAATGAAGCCATTGTCCTGATTCCATGATAGTATTACATATTATTCCTTTTTTTTTAATGACTTGGATTTTTCTTGGCATCATTTAATTCTCTTTTATGAGAACACATCAAAGGAAAAGATCTGATTACAATGGATTTTTAATCACGCAGAAAACGATTACAAATAGATCTTTTCCCTTTTTTCGTCCTTTATTAGTCCTTACTCTATTTTAATCATACATATGAAATAGAAGTAGTTTGATCCAGATCAGAACACAAAACAACTTATTTTTCATGATTATTTGTATCGCTCAGGTTCGCAAATTATGAAGTTTCTACTGAACAAGAGTCACGCAAATTCCTTCGAATTGTGATAGTATAATTAGAGTAGAAAGCGATTAAGAACATTGAATTAGTTATCCTTCCTCTTCTGTCTGAGAATATCTCTTGTAGATTGAGCCACTCAACAGGAGAACTAATTTCGACGCTGAAATTCACGATGTTTTCAGGTCTGTGTAGGAGTTACATTTAGCCAAAGTTCATTGATATTGTGATAAATCTTATGTAATTGTGGTTTATTTCATATGTGAAATTGTGTTGTCAGTTTCATCGAAACCGACGGTCCGAACGATTTACTCTTTTTTTTGTATAAGGCTCTCTTTGGGGTGGATTTCAAGTCAAAAACTCCGATTTAAAATCTTGCAGTAATCTGTATGAATTAGCGCAACACTTTTACCTGTTGATGAAGTCTTCTAACGAAGAGCAATTTTTGTGACGCCATCCTTAAACGGTAATCAATTGACTGTTATCTAACTTTTTCTGAGAGTTTAAAACTTTTTATGCACTGAAATATAAATAAACTCAGTAGATCATATACAGATAACCGATAGTTTTCCAGCGACTTTAACGAAATCGATAAAAATTGAGATAATATTAAACTGTGCAATGAAGCGACCAGTTTTTGAGCGGATCGAGAATTGATATAGTTCTATATCGACAAAATAAAACTATTCTATTGCATAAATTTTTCTCAGATTATACATTTTTGGCTCAATATGTCATCAGTCTCAATGGACATTCCGACGTTGCAAGTCAATGAAAAGGATCTGCAGAATTTGATTAGATTTATTTATAAGCATGAAAAACTCTTGAATGAATTTGGTGCACTTAAAATTCAACCGAATATCGACTGTAAATTAGCTTTGAAGAAACGACGAAAAAATATAAACGTATGCCCTTGTACGGAAACTATCGAAAGAATAAACGAAAAGGAACCTGTTTACTTCACACGAAAGATTGATTGTATTGACAACAATACTAAACAAATATCGATGCTGACTGATGAATGTGGTTTTTGGTCCACATTATCTTGTTCCAGTGATAAACATCGACTGGTGAACACTTCCGTAGTACCTAATAAGAGTTTCTTTTGTCAGAAAACATCTCGTTTATATTTCGATATTCATCGTTTGCCATATCAGTCACTTCTCAGAGTCGGCGGTACTAAAGTGACACGCCACTTCGTTCCATATGTGAGGAGAGCACATGGACCAGGTGCTATATTTCCAATGACTTCTGCTTGTCAACGTCTCTTCTCGATTGATTATCATCATGAAGGTGGTGCTCATCACTGGTACATTATTCCGAGTCGTGAGAGAAAATTTCTACAAGAATTAATTGATCACTACAAATCTAGTATGTGTCTTGATCATGCACAGTTATTTATCGATCCTTCAGTACTAGACAAAAACCATATTCGTTACCATCGAGTTATTCAACGCCCGGGTGAATATGTCGTTTTATCAGCTGGTTCTTTAGCACAAAGTTTTACAGAAGATGCCAGCTGGAGTGAGTCAATTGATTTTGCCTTACCTAGTTGGATTGAAGAAGGTCATGCAAGTATTACGATTCCACAATGCAAATGTGCTATTCCTCAAGATTTCTTATCAGAGGTTATTGATGTTAGCCTATTTAGACCCGAACTTATACAAAGATATGTTACGTCGCATCTCAATTTTACTACTGATGATAAGTCACCAACTTTGGAAGGTTTGTGATTATGTTTATAATAGTCTCTCTAACTCATACGCACATGTTTAGATCACAATGATATAGATGTCATGAAAATGTTAACGCCTAATAGCATTGAAACGTACTCATCCAAAAGTAAGTAGCTTCTTAATATTTCAATTATACAATTAAGCTTAAACTAGATGAAAGATTGGATTTAACTTGAATTCATTCATATATCTCGAAATTTGATGGAAAGTCTTATTTCTTAGTAGTAAGGCTCTTCATTCTTTGATCTACACTCGCATACATAACAAGTCTTGTAGAAACTGTATTTTTCCTTTAACTACTGTTGTACGTATAACCATAAATCCAGTATGTCTCGGATGCATCAGGTAAAGAATCGAATAGAAAACGAAACAAGAATTACTTAGGGCATACCAAAAGTTCGTAGAGTGATACCTTAATACCTTATGATAAGCTTTAAGTAACTTTCTTTCTATATAGTCTGATAAAGAAAAAAATGCTTTATTTTTCTATGCTATTTG